TCAAACATTAAGCCACATCCAGGATTTGGCATGGGGTGCAATCTGATTGAAAAGACAAAAAACTACGTATTTACCCCAACTCCACGTCTAGTTAGTTTTTGTTAAAAGAACAAGCTCTTTCTGGCTGAATTATAGTGAGTAACAAGTATTAATCAGCCTTCATTACATTTCTATTACGTAAATGCTCCATGAGGCAATTTTGTTTTGAATGCACAATATTAAAAACATTTATTACTCATGTCTCTGAATATATATTTTTAGACGTGAGCAAACTGATTGCATTTGCTTCACTTAACTTGTTTGTAATATAACAAAGCTTGCCTGTTCTTTTACACTGATGTTTTGTAGAGTAGAAAATGTTCTCTATCGCACTGCACACTATGATTTATATAGTATTTGAATTGTTACATCCAAGATTTACTTATGTTTTGGGGTTTTCTTTGTGTGTAGTCACTCCAATGAACATAGTCATCGGAGAAAACCTTTCCCCCCCATGTAATTCCCATAAAGTTTGTGTAGTAAAATAACCTCTTTGTTTGTTCATGTTGTTCATAATTCCTGCTTCTATGCTTGGAACTTCTAAGTATACTAAGCAACTGTTTAAGGCCCAGGCAGTTCAAGGGGGCCTTGATTTAGTATTACCCCAAAATATCATTCATCTTATTTAACATGAACTGTTTAACAAGTGTATTAGGATGTGCAGTGTTGGGATTTTTTTTTGATTGTGAAAATAATTAAATTAGTATTTTTAGGAGGTGGTAGGGGGTGGGGGGTGAGGCGCTCAAAATATTTTTGCTTCGGGCTTCCAGTGAGTAGCACTGCCCTCTGCTGGTTATATATTTGCCTCTGGATTGAACCTCTCTTGACCAAAGGGTTACGGAATTCAGCCCTTTTCAAAAGTGTTTGAAACCCCATTTCTTAAGTTCTAGGACACATTTTAAATGTATAACAGTTTTTGTGACACAAACGTTCTGGCCGAGAGGTGTTAAATCATTTACAACTTTTCACTCTTATCTGTAACTCTGGCACTGATTTATGACACATAGACAAGGTAATATGGGGCGAAAGGCAAAGGCTCCATGACTCAGATTCAAAGGAAAGTTGAATTGCAAGGACTAAAACAAGATCTCCCAGATTCACTGCACCTTCGAGTTTGAAATCAGTGTGGGCTGCTTTAACTCCCTTTGCACAGCAGATGGCAGAATCGTTCTTCTAGCTATAGGACTAGGTTTACCTTTAACGTCCTGACTGAAGAAAGGCTTTAGCTGCAGTGGAGATTGGTTTTCTTTTCTTTTTATACTTTTAGCTTATGCAATCTGCACCTGACACTGTAGAAGCCACTTGTGTCAACGGCTTTTTTAAACCATTTGCTAGTGAGGTCTCAAGTATTGAAACCCCCCGGTCTCCCTTCTGGGTCAACACCAAGCACCCAGGGTAGATGAGTTTTCTCCCAATCCTTCACCCTGGGGTTGCCACTGATCCCTACTTTTGTTATTACTCCACTTTTCTCCCACATTTTGTCTTAGAATGTGAATATCCTGCACTGCATGGTTGTATTGTAATGCCTGTTTGCTTAATTGTTTTATATTAAATAAAATCTTCGATTGTATCACTCATGTTGCTCACAGTCCTCCACTAAATTAAATGATCTGTAACTGCCTTGGAGGCTTGAACCTTAAAAAAGTCAGTTTGGTTTTATGCCTTATTTTAACCATTTAATTGGGAATACGTAAATCAAAGGTTAGAGGCAGCTGAGCTCCAGAACTTCAGACAATTATTCTTCACTGCTCTAGCAAGTCACTGCTTCTTTTAGATACCCAGCTTACTTTCTTCATTCAGGCAAGATTTGCGAAAGAACACATCTACCAACAAAAGAGTCCTAAAAGTCTCTCCTGCTCCATGTGTCATTCATTTAGTGGGTTTACGTCCAATTCAGTTCAAAAGGGGCTCATATGAAACAAACTGCAGCAAGGGAGGTCTAGGTTGGACATTAGGAAAAAGTTCCTAACTGTCAGGGTGGTTAAACACTGGAATAAATTGCCTAGGGAGGTTGTGGAATCTCCATCTCTGGAGATATTTAAGAGTAGGTTAGATAAATGTCTATCAGGGATAGTCTAGACAGTATTTGGTCCTGCCATGCGGGCAGGGGACTGGACTCGATGACCTCTCGAGGTCCCTTCCAGTCCTAGAATCTATGAATCCATGAAACTGCCGAATGGAATTCTAGGAGAAATATACGTGCTCTAGCCTTGAGGAAGGAATGGATCCAATAAATGTTAACCATTTGGAAGACACATAGAAACAGTTCCACAATAAGTGAGCAGCGGTGGCTAGCGTCAGCACATTCTTTCCTCCCATCCCCATGCTCACTCTGAGTAGAAAGCATAACCAGAGATTCTGCTGCAATTTGTAGAGAATGCCCACCTCTGTGGATTTTAGTTCTAATCACCTTACCTCAGTTGTCTCATTATGCCTTCTTCTGCAGAGGATCTTATCCTACACAAACTAGCCCTGGAGTGTTGAAGAGTTGACAAGACCATGGTATGACATAGAAAGGTGGCCCGATTTTGGGGCTCTGTCCTTTGTTTCCAGCCTCAATAAGGTCCATCCTATTATCTCCTATCCCTCTTGGCTATTAAAACCTATGGCTCAGACACAGGACCTATTATTAGCAGAAAGTGTCATTTCCTCTCTTCAGGACGGTAGGGTCACAGCATCTCTTAAACAAACAACTGTTTGTTTCTTGATGACGAGTCTATCTTGACAGTGGGATTCCTGCTTACTATCACTCAGTCACCAATCTACCTTTTGAGAAGATTATAAAGAAGGTGGCATCAAAGCAACTCAGTACCCGAAGTCCTCAGGTTTTCTCAACTTCATCAGTCCAGCTTTAGAGCTGGGGATGGCAGAGACTGCACTGGTCTCAGTCAGTGACCTTCTGACAATGGATAAAAACAGAGTGCTCATATTTGTGTTTAGATCTTTCAGCTGCCTTTGATACCACTGTGCAGCTTGATCAACTGCAGATGGCTCTGCTCTTTTGTCTCCAAGAGGAGCCAAACTAGTATTGGATGATTGTTTAGCTTTCCTGAAGGATCTTGCATGCGGTTCTTTCTTTTGCTTTAAATTCATCTGCTTCTGATTGCTCTACGCACCCAGGAATGTGTTTGTTGGAGTAAAAAATCCAAAATGGAGGGAAGTATAGCTACTGCAACTGATTGGGCTAGCTAGCTCTCAGTAGAATCGGAGCTTTGCAGTTCATACTTGCCATGCATTGTTCTTCATATTCACAGCAGAGGCTTTTTGGTGAATTCAGTTCTGTAGTGGACTTTAACATGCACTTTGTTTTTTCTTTTTAAACAAAACTAAGGGAGTGGTGAAGTTCTCAGAGAAGGTTGAACAGTTGTCAAAGATCGCTGGTTGATAAGTTTATACACAGAGTGGGTAGACCAGAGACAGCAGCAGCATAAGTTCCCCTCCCCTCTCTGCTGGAAAAACCAGGAGTAAGCAAGTGGTTGTCTTCATGCCCATTCAGACCTTTGTTTCTTGGTGGAAACTAGCAACTACGAAGCCAGTTATGATGTGGATTCCTTTTGACACCAACACCTTTCACAAGGACAACTGAATATCCATGAGAAGGTGGTGGCTTTCAATAATTGCAAAAAAAAAAAAAAATTAGTAAAAATAAATTTAAAAGAATTTGAAAACGACTACCATTTTCACAGTAGAAGGCAGTGTAGGGCTGAGACAATGGACACGAAAGTAGATGTCTGCGTGTTGTTGCCATGTTAGTCCCAGGATATGAGAGAGAAGATGGGTGAGATAAAATCTTTTATTGTACCAACTTCTGTTGGTGAAAGAGACAAGCTTTCAAGCTCCACAGAGCTCTTCTTCAGATCACCTGAGCTTTGTGGAGCTCTCTCTCATGAAAATAGATTACATTAATGCTCTAGAGTTAGGATTTGTTAAGTGAATTAGGAGCCCTGTAATACTCAGTTATGCAATGTGGTTGGGGTTTGATAGTTTACAGACAGTCTATTGTTTCACATACTTGATGTGAATGTAGAGAGGAGCTATATCTTTTTATTTGACAACACTTGGACATGCTAAATTGCTAAATTATTTGCACCCAAGACTAATCCAACAAAAGAAAAGGAAAAGACATCTTTCATGTGAATCTGCTGAAACCTGGAGGAAGTGGGAAAGTTTCCTTGTCAATCCAGACAATATGCTAAATCTAGGTCCTGAGGTTCTAAGGCCTTTGGCATTGGATGAAATGGTTTCTTCTGAGAGCTTAACTGAATAACAAGCCCAAGAACTAATAAGTTTTCATCAGCCTCAGGAAAAACTATTTCCCATCATACTTGTACCAACCCAGAAGTAAAACCAGTAAGACTTCCTGGGTGCCAGAAAAAATGCAGGAAGCAATTGCATGGGAAGTCTGAGAGATGCTCAAAGTAGGTATCACAAAGGTGTCTCAAAGTAATTGGTACAGCCCTGTTGTACTGGTGCCCAAACCTGACGGGACAATCCATTTCTGTCTTGATTTCCATTGGGTTAAATAATGCTATTTCCGATCTGGATGCATACTTCATGCCACACAGACAAGTTAGCTAGGGAAGGCTAAATATTTAACAATGTCAGACTTAGAGTTGAAGTGTGGAGGTGAAAGGGGGAAGGTAGCTTTCTAATCAATGTACTTTAGGGGTACACTGTGTTATCAGATTTTTTGCCAAACACAGGCCACGTAAAACCTCGGTCGACAGATCCTTTCAAAACAACAAGCACATTTACCAGTGAGTGAGAACGGACGATGCACAGAATTCCACCCTCCAGCCTTCTCTAAAACTGATCCTTTGTGTTTTCTCCTTTTACATTTAGTAGGAGTTCATTTTCAGCAGAGAGAGGTTGAGATTTTTGGTGACTTGCTGCCAACAAAGTCAAATGTGACTTAAAGTCACGAGGCTTCCCATAAACATAGTTGAAAGATGAGCATTTGCTTTTGTTGTGAACCAATGTAATTAAAGTAATATTTTACAATGTTCAAGCATTCAGTAAATAGCAGCTTTAAAGCCAATACCCCATATAGGAGGACAGTCTCACAGGGGGAGGAGCCCCTTATTAAAAAGAGAATTACAAAGAGCATATATGTTAGGTTGCTTATGCAAGGCAGGAGAAAGGTGGGAAAAAAATTAAGCGTTTTAAATTCCTTATATCCAAGGCAGCCCCCTGCTTGACCAGGTATATCCCTATTTCACATCAAGCTTGCAAGATGAGAAATCCAACTGGGAAAAACAAAACAGTCCTATAGAAGAAAGTTCTCTGGCATTCTTCTCACCCTTGCTGGACCCCTCTGCCCTTAATCTTATGGACAGCTTCCGTAATAAACAAAGGTTGATATTGTTTTCTATAAACCCAGCTCTCTTTCGAAAGCTCATTCTAAACACACTTTTTGTAAATAATGCTTAAAATCTAAACTAAAAATAATTCAGGAGCAAAAGACTAGGATTTGTTACTAGTATATTTGCTAGGCATTTCTGTCCCACTGCTTGACACATATGGGACTATTCCGACCAATGTTGTTCTCTGAAGCTATCCATATTCAATTCTACATAAAATCCTGCGATTGTTGGACACTGGAGCGTACCATGGAGATGAAACTGGTGGCTGCAATACACAGAACTAATTATTCTTGTAATTTTCCTGAGAGATTAATATTAAAGAGGCATCAACAGTGGAAAAATTAAAGCAGAAGATACAATAGACTCCAATTTCTGTTCTGGTGTTTGGAAAAACTCCAGTTGTTAATAGTCTGTCTTTTGGGTGGTTTTTTTCTAGTTCAATGTAGCAATGGGTCTGTTATCATTCAGTAGATTTTTGTGTGAAGAGTGTTCATCTGCAGAGCATCTGACAATGGCATGTTTTGCAGGAGCAGTACAGATAGATTTATGGCCCCAATAACATGTTGTAAACCAGGTTCTTCCATTTGCTGCAGTTATTGTTTGGGCATAGCAAAGTCCCAAGCTGTCTCCTGCGCGCATTTCCACATTGCCCTCATGAGTCGTGTAAATCCCATGTCTTTGGGCTTCTCCAAACCTCTCATAAGTCGCTGCTTCATAATGGCAACAAACTCCTTGTTACTCAACTCTCCATTCCCTAAGGGAAGAGGGGGGAAAAAAAATGTTCATTAACTTGAAAGTACAAAAATAAAAGGCCCAGAAATCTTTGGAGGGCAGTACCAAAAGCTTGGTTTCCTTTAGAGAAGAAAAAGAGACTGGTTCATGTTTTGCTTTAGTCTCCTGACAGGTCAGGCCATGAAAAGTGCTGGTAGCAATGTACAAATTTTACGTTATATTTGAAGTTAAAGTTTCTGATTAAAACAAACACTTCAGAGTTTCCTGCTGACAGCCACTGTATGGCTGGTGTCACAATAACGCTGCTTTTCAGCACGATGGCACCTCCCAGCAGGAAGCTTGGAAATAGCAAATTGTAAATTAACTCCAATTTCATATGCAATTCACTTTTTACAAAATGTGAAAAATGCTTCTCCCCATGGGATCATTTCAGGACAATCTGCTGAGCAAAATGATTGCAGGTTTAATTTTGACAGTATTATTATATCACCAGTTACAATTCTGCATCCTTTCTGGACAAGGCCCAATTACTAATTGAAACAATGAATGCTTTTATCAAAATGTTTACTTTGTGATTCATTGCAGTCAGGAACTCTGTGACACAATGGTCTTAAATGAAAATGCATGACAGGTTCAACGACTTATTTTCCAAAGACCCAACTATTGTCATAGCAATAAGGAAAATTTCATATTTTAGTCAGGTATTTAATGTTGACATAAGTGAGATTCAGAGGTGGCAAAAATCTTTGACACCGCAATGCAGCCCCCACCAGTGATCATTTACAATTTGGCAGATTTTTTTTTTCACCTATGTCAAGCAGCATATGACAACATCTGACTGTTTCTTGGAGCAGCTAGTCCTGGAACCCACAAGGGGAGAGGCAATTCTTGATATAGTCCTAACTGGCACACAGGATCTGGTCCAAGAGGTGAACCACTCAGCAATAGCGACCAGGATGTAATTAGATTTACCATTCTTGCAGGGAGAAAAATTCCAAAGAAACCCACCACAGCAGCATTTAACTTCACAAGGGGAACTACACAAAAAATGAGGAAGCTAGTTAAACAGAAATTAAAAGGAACAATCACAAGAGAGAAATGCCTGCTAGCTGCATGGAAACATTTTAAAATCACCATAATAAGAAGCTCAAATTAAATGTGTACCCCAAATAAGAAAAAAATCAGTGAAAGGACTAAACAAAATGCCACCATGACTAAATAACAGAGCACAAGAGGAGATTAGAGACAAAAAGACATTCTTTAAAAATTGGAAGTCAAATCCGACTGAGGAATATAGAAAGGAGCATAAACTCTGCCAAGTATAATTAGGCAGTCCGAAAAAGAATTTGAAGAGCAACTAGCAAAAGACAAAAACTAACAGCAAATTTGTTCTAAGTATATCAGAACCAGGATGCCTGCCAAACAGTGGGACCACTGGACTATAGAGGTACTACAGGAGCACTCAAGGAAGACTAGGCTGTTGTGGAGAAGCTAAATGAATCATTCGCATCAGTCTTCACTGCAGAGGATGTGAGGGAGATTCCCACCCCTGAGCCATTCTTTTTAGGTGACAAATTTGAGGAACTGTCCCAGACTGAGGTGTCAATAGAGGAGGTTTTGGAACTAATTGATAAATTAAACAGGAATGAGTCATCAGGACCAGATGGTGACCCAAAAGTTCTGAAGGAACTCAAATATGAAATTGAAGAACTACTAACTGTGCTATATAACTTATTGCTTAAATCAGCCTCTGTACCAAATGACTGGCAGATAGCTAATGTGATGCTGATTTTTAAACAAGTTTCCAGAAGTGATCCTGGCAATTACAGGCCGGTAAGCCTAACTTCAGTACCAGGCAAACTGGTTGAAACTATAGTAAAGAACAGAATGATCAAACACATAGATGAACATGATATGTTGGGGGAGAAGTCAACATGTTTTTTGTAAAGGGAAATCATGCCTTATGAATCTATTAGAATCCTTTGAGGGTGTCAACAAACATGTGGACAAAGATATAGTGCATTTGGACTTTCAGAAAGCCTTTGGCAATGTCCCTCAACAAAGGCTTTTAAGCAAAGTAAGAAGTCATGGGATAAGAGAGAAGGTCCTCTCATGGTTAAAAGACAGGAAATAGTCACTTTCACAGTGAGAGGGAGGTAAATAGTGGGATCTGTACTGGGACCTGTGCTGTTTAACATATTCGTAAATGATCTGGAAAAAGGGGTAAACAATGAGGTGGCAAAGTTTGCAGACAATACAAAATTACTCAAGATAGTTAAGTCCAAAGATGACTGCGAAGAGTTACAAAGGGCTCTCTCTAAACTGCTATGTTAAGAGTTTGACTTAAACTGACTAACACAATGAAACCTTGGGTCCAATCTGCAACTCCAAACTCATCCTGCACTACTGAACCTAGATATTGCACCATACACAGAACTGGAACTTGGGATCTTAGATGAAAAAATGAACAGGGAGAAATCTACCAAGAGGGGAGACTTATCAAGGGAAATATGGAAGATACTCAAAAAAGAAAAATCACAACAATTTTATAAAGTTAGAAGTGGAGCTGGGCGTACTGTGAACATGGAAACTTCTTGAGGGTACTTTTTTGCACTGAAATAATTTAGGAAGTGTCACAGGTTTTGAAATAGATAAGTTATTTTTTTTTTAAAAACTTCCTAGACTTGGACTCATTTTGGCAAGTTTTATTCCACAGCTAATTTTTATGGGTAATTTATAATCCCTAGGATTTTTAATGAAAATACTGACAGACTTTGAAGGGAGTATTCCCAATCAGATTCAGAGACACAACATGATTCATTGCCTTTACATTCCAATTCATTGGAAGACATCCAGGTCTCTGAAATCCCTGTCTAGTTTACTATCAATTTTGTAGGCACATGTTTGTTTCCCCAAGACCACTTGACAAGGAAAGAAGAAAGGATTCCTGACAGTTCTACGCCCACTGCTTCTTCCTGCTTCGTGTCTGTCATTTAGACTCTTGCTTAAGAGACAACCTGTCTCTTCCTAATTGTATCGTTGCTACAGAGTTTGTCCCCTGCCCACTCTGCATGTAAATCAAGAAATACTCTACGGAAGCAAAGCTTTCAGACCATCCTGATTTTAAAAGCTCTAGCAAACACTGTTTTTGTTTTAAATAATCTGGCCACAGATATTTCAACCGATTTCCTGTGTCTTTATTGGTGCACTGGGCAGAGGGGCCCAATAAAATCCATTGTGCAGGACATTATTCATTCAAACTGGTTTTAAGAGGCTTGAAAACTGAAGGCTTTTTGGAAGTATAACTCTCTGAACAAAGCCCTCTAATGTTCTTTCTGCACTTTGTGTACATACATACAAGGAACTAGAAAACCCCCATAATTATTCCTAAAAACAGGGTCTAATTGCTAACTTTATTTTCTGCTCTTTGTGCTGACTTAGAACCATCCTTTTCTCTATCTGCAGTCCACTTCTTAATCCAGTATTGCCATCTTTATCGTCTATGTTATCTGACAGAAAAGCAACCACATAACTACTTCCAATCTGAAACTGTGGAGTCTCATTTAAGACCACAAATGTATCCTTTTCTCAGCACTCCCTCCCCCATCACTCACCTACCATCAGGACTTGCTACCATGTTAAAAAAAAAGTCAGCAGTTTCATTCCTTAAGCCATTTTTAGAAGTCCGTATACACAAGCTAAATGAAACTAAAGAGATCTGTGTCTGCTTTTATGCTACGTTCCTATCTTTGAAGAGATTTCTCTAACAGAACAGTCTTTTCCTCTAAAGATTTGGTATCAAAACATTCAACAGAATCTCCTCTGAGAGTATGCAAATAGAGACCATTTGGATACATTTCAATTCACTCTACAGATCAAAATATCTGGCTTGCAGATTCCAATCAGGAATCGCTATTGAGCTACTTAGGAAAAACGTGATTCAACCTTCTTTCACCAAAGGTACAAGGAAATAATATGAAGCTGGAAGCAAGAGGGGATATAAATAGACACAATTGCAAAGATGCATTTATCATTTAATCAACAGTGAACACAAAACTATCTATTTGCACACACACAGTATCAGAGAATGGACAGCATATCAAAATGGGTGATTTGACAGCCCTGCTGGATATCTTTAGATAGTGAGTACATTTACCCCTTTGAGGGCACAATGGACCTACTGTATATTAAAAGAAAACATAAGCAAAAAATGATGAGCCATTAGTCTACCAATATTTAGTATCTACCTGATTTACCATTGAATACACTGGATAACTAGAGATAGAGTAAATTCTCCTGGGTTATGTTCTTGGCTCTGCCAATGATTTGCCCTGTGGATTTAGGCAAATACTTAACTCAGTTTCCCTGGATGTAAAATAAGGATAAGAACTCTTATTTATTATGTACCTCAGAGAAATACTATGACAATTGGTGTTTACAAAGTACTCTGAAGATGTAAAATGCCATTTAAGTGCTAATTACATGAGGACGATATGTTTTGTGACAGTGCTGTCAAGAAGTGAAGTGATGTGATGTTATGGAGCAATGTTATGAGTTGGCTAATCAGCTTCTCCAGTTGAGCAATGGCATTTCATAAGAATATCAAAATGGTCCATCTAGCCCAGTATCCTGTCTTCTGACAGGGGCCAACGCCAGGTGCCCCAGGGGGAATGAACAGAACAGGTAATCATCAAGTGATCCATCCCGTCACCCATTCCCAGCTTCTGGCATGATTTCCAGCCATGATGTCATAGAAAAGTGTAATGTCACAGGAGGATAGGCTGGTTAAACAAAGTACCGAATATACTCACTGAAGGGCAGCTACTGAACTTCCATATTCAGAGTTACAGTGCTTGAAGTAGCCAGTCTCATTAGTCTCATTACAAACTGCATTAAGTTCTGGCTCGCCACACATTATGCAGACACGATCACTGTGACTCTGCAGTTAAGTATATTCACTTTCACAATGCAAGTGTGACTAACACTCATTGCTTACTCCACAAAATGCCATTGCACAGAGGATACTCTTGGTTTGCATGGTCCAATTATTACGAGAGTGTAATGTTTCACTTGAATGTTGAAGGCATGGCATGTATACTGCAGTTTTGAATGTTTCTGCTACTGTTCACAGAGGACAACATCCAGCCCTGAGTTTTTGTCCTCAAGGGAAAAATTAAACTAGTTAGTGGGATATTGAAAAATCACCACAACAGGAATAAAATCCTTATATACGAGATCTGCAAAACCTAGTTTAGCATTAGACACTATGGTTCTTAGTTTCTTTAACTGAACTTTGGTTCTGCTGTGTAGGGGGCACAGTGCATCTATTCGTTGAGCTGGCCATTGAGTTAACCATTAATTGTTAATTCAGCATCCCTGCTGGAGGAGTTCGGATCTCTTCAACTTCCATTATTAAGCTCCCATTTTTGAAATCTGCACTGCAGTCATCATCCTTCTGAGCTCAGTAATTTTCCTCCTTAATCAACCTGAGATCGCTTTTGAGTGACAAGAGCAGGCCAGAAAAAGCAAACTACTGGGAATAAATTCCAGATTTCTTGCATGGCAATGCACATTGCTATCATTAATTAGCTAGTGTTTGTACAGAGCTGTAAATGTAAAGTACAGTGTTAGTGCTAAATATTCTTATTACCAACAATAGGCCATAATTGCTAATTTTGTTAAACATATAATGTTTCTGGGAGCAGAAGATAATCTGATTTCTCTCTGCAGTGAGCTATTCAACCAGAAATCTGACCTACAAAACCCTCAAACTTTTAAGTTAGATATATGAAAACTTTCAGAGAGCACTGAAATGCCATTAACAAAACCCTCTGGAAAAGTATAAGCTTTTAATACTGTGACAAAGTTCCTCCTCTATCTTGATGGGTCCTGCGCTTACTGGTTGGTTTTCTTGCCTCAGAGATTCACCGTGTGGGTTGGGGAACAGCCCAGAGACCTTCCCCTCTGGAAGAACCTACAGTCCAGGTCAATTGGGAGGTTTTGGGGGGAACCGAGGCCCGCCCTCTACTCCGGGTTCCAGTCCAGGGCCCAGTGGACTGCAGCTATCTATAGTGCCTCCTGTAACAGCTGCATGACAGCTACAACTCCCTGGGCTACTTCCCCATGGCCTCCTCCAAACACCTTCCTTATTCTCACCACAGGACCTTCCTCCTGGTGTCTGATAACGCTTGTGCTCCTCAGTTGCCCAGCAGCACACCTACACTCTCACCTCCTTGCACCTCTTGCTCCCAGCTCCTCACACGCGCACCACAAACTGAAGTGAGCTCCTTTTTAAAACCCAGGTGCCCTGATTAGTCTGCCTTAATTGATTCTAGCAGCTTCTTCTTAATTGGCTCCAGGTGTCCTAATTAGCCTGCCTGCCTTAACTGGTTCTAGCAGGTTCCTGATTACTCTAGTGCAGCCCCTGCTCTGGTCACTCAGGGAACAGAAAACTACTCATCCAGTGACCAGTATATTTGCCCTCTACCAGACTCGTGTAACCACATTCCTGTTCCTGTTCTTTTATTAGTTGTCCCTGTAATTTTTTGGTCTCCAGGTCTTGTGGATCCCCCTCTTACCTGGGGGGATCCTTTAGCACTTCCTGGATCCCAATAGGACCAGACTCCTGTACCTCACTGGTCTGGGTCTGTCACAATACAGACCACAACACAAACAGAAAACTATAATACAGTGTGAAGGGAACAGTGAATACCACCATGAAATGGATAATAATGCTATGGAAGGCCAAAATCTAGCAGTATTTTCATGCTATTGATAAGCTGGAGAGCAGAAATGAAAACAATTGATAAAAAGCCAGTTAGCCTGGGGATCGAGAGGAAGAAAGCCTCCAAATCTCATTCATTTTGACTGCCTCTGGTAATTGATCTTACTTTTAGTATCTCTATACATAATAAATTGCAAAATGGGGAACAATAGAAGAGCGCTCTGGTGCTGATAAAGGTTTGTCAGATACAACCAACTCATCCCTTGAAAAGAAAATATTATCGAAATGCACAAATATAACATATTTAGCTTTTATAGCTTGATTCTTTCTAGTTTTTTTTTTTTTTTTGAAATACAGATAAACTACACAACACACTGGGCACAGGCTGGGAATATGAAAAGGTCAGACCGATACAGTAAATTAAAACCACTCACCGTCACAATCAAAAAGAGCAAACACCACATCACACACATGGTCTGAGAGCTCCACTTTTGCCACTGTCCTGGCTACCTGCTGCATGGTAACTGAAATAAAATAAGGATACATTATTAATAGAATGCAGTAAACTTAAATCAGTGTTATCTTTCATCTTTCACCTTTTGTAACTGTTTTTCTTCGAGATGTGTTGCTCATGTTCATTCCATTCTAGGTGTGCGCACACCCACATGCACAGCTGTTGGAGACTTTTACCTTAGCAGTATCCATAGGGTAGGCTGTGGCGCCCCCCTGAATGCTGCGCTCATGCGTCGGTATATTAGGTGCTGCCGACCCTACGCCCTCTCAGTTCCTTCTTGCAGGCAACTCCGACAGATGGGTAGGGGGGGTGGTAATGGAATGGACATGAGCAACATATCCTGAAGACCAACAGTTACAAAAGGTAGGTAACCGTTTTAGTTCTTCGAGTGCTTGCTCATGTCGATTCCATTCTAGGTGACTCACAAGCAGTATTCTCGGAGATGTGCTCGGAGTTCACAGTTTAGCAGCTTGTAGTACTGCCATACCGTCATCCTTGAGCGCACCCTCAGAATGACTGCTTCTGGCCTCCTGGGAGGGTCAGGCTGAGCAGATGAGCAGGAAGATGACGGGTGTCGCTGCTTAGACCCTTTGTCTCTGTCCTTCCTCAGGTAGGAACCAGATCGGGGAGTTCCCCAGGACCTAGACTGCGGGGGCAGAGGAAACGGAGGATGGAACAGCTTCCTGGCCTGCTGAGGTGTGTGAAGGCCCAAGAAGCAGAGGGTGGCCCAGGAGTCTTTAAGGTCGTGGCACCTTTAGTCCATGAGCTCAGAGAAGAGCCCCGCCCCCTCAAATGGGAGGTCCTGAATAGAGGCCTGCATCTCCTGGGACAACCTGGAGGACTGCAACTAGGAGCTGTGCCTCATGACCACTATAGAGGCGACCATCCTGGCTGCTGAGTCAGTAGTGTCCCAGGCCATTTGGAGGGCCCCCCTTGCCACCGCTGTGCCCTCGTCCACCAAAGCGGCAAACTCCCGGGCTCGATCCTGTGAAAGGGCCTCTTTGAATTTGTTAAGGGAGTCCCACAGGTTACAATTGTACCTGCCTAACAGGGCCTGGTGGTTAGACACCGTGAATTGTAGGCTGGCTATTGAATAAATCTTTCTGACAAATAAATAGAGTCTCTTGGCATCTTTGTTCTTTGGTGTGCCACTAACGTGGTCTTGCCTGTCCCTTTCATTCACAGCGGACACGACCAGTGAAGCCGCTGGAGGGTGTGTGTAGAGGTATTCAAACCATTTTGTAGGGTTGTAATACTTCTTTTCTGCCTTCTTAGAACTCAGCAGAATGGAAGAGGGGGTTTGCCACAAGGACTTGGCAATTTTAAGGACCCTGGGAGGACAGGTAGCGTGACCCGGACCAGGGTGGAGGAGGAGGATATAACGTTAAAGAGGTCATCAGATTCCTCCACGACCTCCTCAATTTGTAGGTTCAAATTAGCAGGCACCCTTTTAAGGAGGGCCTGGTGCTCCCTGAAGTCGTCAGGGGACTGCCTGTTTTGGAGGGACCTGCCACCCCTTCATCTGGGGAAGACGACGATGACTGCACCGCCTGTGGAGGAGCAGATTCCCCCTTCCTCTCCAGGGACAGCTCCTTAGGTGCTGAGGTTTGGTGTGCTGTCCCCGCATTGGATTCGGTATCACGTTCTGACTCCGGCGCTGGCGGTGCCGGTTTGTCTGAGGCAGCGAGGGAGGACTGGTGGGAACATGGGACCGGCATTACTGGCACGCCTCACGGGTTCCAGTACGACCATTGAGTAGACAACTGTCCCTGCTGCCACGTTGTCACTGCAGGTGCCATGCCAGTCTCACGAGTCGGCGGCGAATTACCCCTCCTTGGCAATGGGCTGAACTCCTGGTCCGACTTGGACCACAGAATTGGAAGGGAGCTTGAGAGATCACCTCGTCCAGTCCCCTGCACTCATGGCAGGACTAATTATCTAGACCATTCCTGACAGGTGTTTGTCTAACCTGCTCTTAAAAATCTCCAACGATGGAAATTACACAACCTCCGTAGACAATTTATTCCAGTGCTTAACCACCCTGACAGTTAGGAAGTTTTTCCTAATGTCCAACCTAAACCTCCTTGCTGCAATTTAAGCCCATTGCTTTTTGTCCTATGCTCAGAGGTTAAGAAAAACATTTTTTCTTCCTCCTCCTTGTAACAACCTTTTACATACTTGAAAACTGTTATGTCCCCTCTCAGTCTTCTCTTTTCCAGATTAAACAAACCCAATTTTTTCAATCTTCCCTCATAGGTCATGTTTTCTAGACCTTTAATAATTTTTGTTGCTCTTCTCTGGACTCTCTCCAATTTGTCCATATCCCTCCTGAAATGTGGCGCCCAGAACTGGACACAATATTCCAGATGAGGCCTAATCAGCACGGAGTAGAGCGGAAGAATTACGTCTCAGGTCTTGCTTACAACACTCCTGCCAATACATCCCAGAATGATGTTCACTTTTTTTTGCAACAGCATTACCCTGTTGACTCATATTTAGCTTGTGGTCCACTATGACCACCAGAACCCTTTCTGCAGTACTCCTACCTAGGCAGTTATTTCCTATTTTGTATGTGTGCAACTGATTGTTCCTTCCTAAATGGAGTACTCTGCATTTGTCTTTATTGAATTTCATCCTATTTACTTCAGATCATTTCTCCAGTTTGTCCAGATCATTTTGAATTTTAATCCTATCCTCCAAAGCACTTGCAACCCCTCTCAGCTTGGTATCATCCGCAAACTTTATAAGTATACTCTGTATGCCATTATACCATACTCTGTATGTCTGTATACCATTGCCCTTACGGCGACCAGGGCGGAGCCATTGAGGCCTGAGTCTATCAACTGACTCTGGTTGGCGACTGGCGAGGTGAGTGCGAGGAACAGTACTGGGAGGAACGGGATCAATGCTGTGACAAGGAGCGGCCCTGCCTGGGCAGGGACTGTCATCTGGGAGACCGTCTGGGTGAAGGTGACCTGGGCCATGGTGATCTTTGATGAGAAGCTTGCCGGTACTGGTGGTACGGGGACCAGTGCCTTGACTCTGGTTTCCCATGTCTTATAGGGGGAAAACGCATTGAGGACCTGGGCCTTCTGGTCGGTGACCTAGGATACAGTGCCGGGGTCCAAGGCTGTGGAGATGTGCCTGTGGTCCGGTGACCAAGGGTGCTCCATTGCTCTGTGAGGCGTTCCCATGATCGGCTTGCCCTTAGATGTCAGGGTCTTAGCTGAACCTGCTGCCTATTGCAGCATCTGCGGTGCCAGTCAGCCTACTTGTTCTTTAGCCTCCAGGGCCGCTTTGGGCAATGAGGACCCTGGGAGAGACCAGGGTCCCCTGCCGCTCCCCAGAGTCAGATTCCTGGCCGGGCTGGGGAATCGACCTCTGCCATAGCCCCGTGAAGCCCAAGGGCAGGCACATGGCCTGACTTCGGTTCTTTCCAAAAGCCCCTTTCCCTTCTGGTGCCAGGAGGGCTCCTCTTCTTTTGCCGCTTCTTAGGCACCGGCGAGGGGGAACAGTGCGGGATGGAGCCCAGTGCTGGCATTGCGCTCTGCACTGAAATCGAAGTGCTCGGTGTGGGGTCCGAGTGGGAGGGCTCTGATGCAGGACGAAGCACAGCCTCCATGAGGAGGGCCCTCAAGCAGATATCCTTCTCCTTTGGGTTCTAGGTCGAAAGTTTTTACAGATTCGACACTTGTCCTTTCTATGGGACTCCCCCAAACACTTCAAACAGCTGTCAGGGGGGTCACCGATAAGCATCGGCCTGCTGCATGACAAGCATGGTTTGAAGCTGGGAGAATGGGGCCTGCCCTGCTCTGAGGCAAAGTCCCAGCTGGGACGCTAACTACCAAACTAACGTTAACACTTAACTTAGTATCTACAAACTATATACAAAGAAGATAAACAAAGGCTGTAAAGAACCGCTAATGCTCTTGCAATTTGCAAGACAAGGCGCTCCAACCAACCGTCATGGGCGGTAAGAAGGAAGCGAGAGGGCATAGGGTTGGCAGCACCTAATATACCAACGCATGAATGCAGCACTCAAGGGGGCGCCGCAGACGACTCTATGGATACTGCTAAGGCAAAAGTCTCCGACAACTGTGCACATGGGCGCACACACACCTAGAATGGAATCGACACGAGCAAGCACTTGAAGAAGAATAGCATTTTACAAAAAGCTACCATCCAAAGCATTTTTCTCAGAAAGTTTTAAATTAAATTTCTTCCCCACTCTGTTCAACTCCTTCCTTGAAATCAGTCTCCTCAAAAGACCTGTGTTCCTACACTATACATGCACAGTGCTTTGTTGTTGTAGGGATGCTGATGAACCTTGAAATGTTGCTATTATTTTTATTGAAGTAAAAGCATTAAGCACTAATTCTGGAAACAAAACAAAAGAAAACCACCCACCAGCCAAAACTACTGTTTCTTCTTTGTTTGCAAAGTCCATGTAACTGGAACTGTGGGTCTTAACTTTTTGCTCCTGGACATGAGAGGAAAGCATCAGAATGAGAGCAAACCCGCCACATGTAATTTCCCACCTCTCCTGCTCACAGACTCTCTATTCCTTGCATGGTCAGTAAGAAGGTTTTTTCCCCCTATGTTGAAAAACATATGAATTGTCATCTTTGCAACACTGGGTTCCTGCAGGCTGAATATTGTTTTTCTGCTAAGCAGTGCAGAGCCGATACAAACTCAAAAAGGCAAGTTCCAGTGTCTGTGAAAATAATACATCTTGCATCATCATTGACCAGGCTTAATAGAGAGGTTTGTGATATTAAATTTGCAATACGCAGTAATGAGAGTTCATGGCAAGGTTAGTGGCATCTCAGTCTAGAGGGTGAGTTCCGGCCACAAGTGAAAAGGCATTTGGTAGTTTCATCAGAGTCCCTAGTGGCCAGTGATGCATGTCACAACACTCACACACAATTCAGCATGGTTGCTATAGTAGTTCCTGCTGTACAAAAGAAATCAACGGCTTAGCATAATATATAACCATTATACATTCACATT